TCTGTGGCAGAACAGAAATGGGGCCAGAATGGGTGTCACTAATGAATGGCCATTTCAGGAATGAATGTCAGCCTGAAGGTGGCATTGTCTGCACATTGCAACTAGGCCTTTCCCACACCTAGTTCTGTTCATTAGGAACACTCTTGTTCCATCCTTTTTACATATATTCCGTTTATTCTCTTTGTCATGTCTGACACTATGCTATCTATACTCAATACATCTTAATCCTGCCTATTTTACAGGCTACCTGTTTGCCCATTATATTTAACACACGAGTTTCATATATTCCTTTTGTATCTATCCCTTTGGACGGAATTTAATATCCTCATAATACAGCAAGCATACATTACAAAAATACATTAAACATTTTTGCTTAAAATATTTTTAAAAATTGTCCAGTAGAAGATAAATGGTATTGTATGTCATGGAAGACTGGTTAAGAATGGGAATATACACTGCCACGTGTGTACCTATGCAACAATCTTGCATGTTCTTCACATGTACCCCAAAACCTAAAATGCAATAAAATAAATGGAAAAAAAAGTTTAAAAATTTAAAAAAATTAAAAAATTAAAAAAAAAAAAGAATGGGAATATAGATCTTCATTGACAAAAAGATACTCACTTTATATTACTGAGTAGGTAGGGTTCAAAGACATTATTATAGGCAGGGCATGGTGACTCACACCTGTAATCCTAACATTTTAGGAGGCCGAGGTGGGCGGATCACTTGAGGTCAGGAGTTTGAGACCAGCCTGGCCAACATGGAGAAACCCCATCTCTACTAAAACTACAAAAATTAGCCGGGTATAGTGGCAGGTACCTATAATCCCAGCTACTTGGGAGGCTGAGGCAGAAGAATCACTTGAACTCGGGAGGCAGAGGTTGTAGTGAGCCAAGATCAAGCCACTGCACTCCATCCTGGGCGATAGAGCAAGACTGAGTCTCAAAAACAAAACGATCACGCCTGTAATCCCAGCACTTTGGGAGGCCGAGGCGGGTGGATCACGAGGTCAAAAGATCGAGACCATCCTGGTCAACACGGTGAAACCCCGTCTCTACTAAAAACTACAAAAAAATTGGCTGGGCATGGTGGCGCGTGCCTGTAATCCCAGCTACTCAGGAGGCTGAGGAAGGAGAATTGCCTGAACCCAGGAGGCGGAGGTTGCGGTGAGCCGAGATCGCGCCATTGCACTCCAGCCTGGGTAACAAGAGCGAAACTCCGTCTCAAAAAAAAAAAAAAAAAAAAACGAGAAAACATTATTGGCCGGGCACAGTGGCTCACGCCTATAATCCCAGCACTTTAGAAGGCCAAGGCTAGTGGATATCCTGAGGTCAGGATTTCGAGACCAGCCTGGCCAACATGGTGAAACCCCATCTCTACTAAAAATACAAAAATTAGCCAGGCATGGTGGCACATGCCTGTAATCCCAGCTACGCAGGAGGCTGAGGCAAGAGAACCTTTTGAACCCGGGAGGCGGAGGTTGCTGAGATTGGGCCACTGTACTCCAGCCTGGGCAACAAGAGCAACACTCTCTCTCTTAAAAAAAAAAAAAATTATTATAGTATTTGTTTATAGTTTACACAGAAATGTGTAAAACATTTCTGGAATACATAAATACATATATGTTTGTTAACATTTTCTATATGTGTACACAGAAATGTCTAGAAGTATCTTCTCCAAAATATTAATAATAATTTTCTCTGAGTTTGGGATGTGGAGTTATTTTTGCTTGCCTTTACTCTTTTGTTGTTGTTGTTTGTATTATTATGGGTGAGGATGTTTGGGAGGGGATACTGCAAGAAGTTTATAATCTAAAGAAAGGACAAATCAATTATGATTTAAAATTTTTTTGACCAGGCACAGTGGCTCACACCTGTAATTCCAGCACTTTTGGTAGGATGAGATAGGAAGATTATTTGAAGTCAGGAGTTCAAGATCAGCCTGGAAAACATAGTGAGACCTGTTTCTATTTTAAAAAATAAGAATTTTAAAAAGAAATAAATTCATATTGCCAGCATTGTACTCTGGGAAGCCTATATTTGTGATCTAAAGAAAAGACAAATCAGTTGGAAAGAATATCACCTTTGAAGTCAGATAGACCCAGATCCATTCACTAGCTATATACAGCTGGGGACTCAGCCTGCCTTAGCTTCACTTCCCTAGTCTGTAGAATGAGGATGACAATAAGTACCTTACAGAAGGTCAGAACATGTGCAAAGGGCTTAGCACAGTGCCAGTATGACATTAGTGGCCTAATAAGTGTAATTCCACCTCCACATTTGATATACTACTTAATTCTCTTCTGACCTCAATTTCATTCCTGGTGGTATAAAGGGACCTACTAATCCCAGTGCTGGAAAATCCTAGGAACTGCAGAGGACTCTCCAAAACAGGTCAGCTCCTGGTGCCTTGATTATAGCAGCTGTGGGCCAACAAAGCTGATAAGGGAATCTGATTTTTCCATTGTCTTCCATTGTAAAGTTGAAAGTATAATTTTCCCTACTAGAGCATATGTTAGCCCAGGACATAATGAAATCATTATTAAAAACCTAAAACTTGGGGTTAGACTTGTAGTTTTTCTAAACTTTAGTGTGTATAAGATCATCTAGAGCAATGGTTTTCAGTTCTTTTCAGACCCGACTTTTTATAAGATTCATGTTACTATCTTGAAATTCATAGATAATACATACATTTAAAAATCTGCATAATTTCTTGACTTTGATATTTTTGACACTTGATTCTCGATATTTCATTATAATTAAATAATACATACAATTGGCCCTCCGTATCGATGTGTTCCACATCCTCAAATTCAATTAACCACAAGTCAAAAATATTTGAGGAAAAGAAGTGGATGTTTGCATCTATACTGAACATATACAGACTATTTTTCATTCCCTAAACAATACAGTATAACAACTATTTATATAACATTTACATTATATCAGGTACTGTAAGTAATATAGAGATGATTTAATGTATACAAGACTATGTGAGTAGGTTATATGCAAATGCTATACCATTTTATATAAGTAACTTGAACATCCATGGATTTTGGTATCTGAAGGGTCCTGGAACAAATCCCCTATTGATACTGAGGGACATAATGTAGTACTCAGATGCTTGCATATATAGGTAGGCTCACCATGAATATGGCAGTTAGAAGTGTGTGGTGGCTGGGCACAGTGGCTCACACCTGTAATTCCAGCACTTTGGGAGGCCTAGGTGGACAGTTTCGCTTGAGGACAGGAGTTCGAGACCAACCTGGCGAAACCCTGTCTCTACTAAAAATACAAAAGTTGCCCGGGCTTGGTGGCGCACACCTGTTATTCCAGCTACTCTGGAGGCTGAGGCACCAGGATGGTTTAAACTCAGGAGGTAGAGGTTGCAGTGAGCCGAGATCATGCCACTGCACTCCAGCCTGGGTAACAGAGTAAGACTCTATCTCAAAAAAATTAAAAATTAAAGAAGTGTGTTGTATTGGCAATCAAATATCAGGAGCCACCTAACCCTTGATGTGGTTTTCCAAAATGGTGAACAGCTTTTGGTAAAGTTCTTGACCAAAAAGGCTAATTTTCCTTTAGTTTACACAGTGGTTGAATTCCTGTAAAATTTAGTGTATATTAAGATCCTGAAGAAAACATTCTAAATACACAATTTACACAATTTGGAATTAAGCAGAGACCTGTTTAATGTGGATTCCTGACCCCCTGACCCCCATCCTCAGAGGTTTTGATTCATGGAATCTAGGATAGGGTGCAGAATCCTTGGTCATGATTTTGATTCAGGCCTTCTGTTTTCTAAAGGAACTGGGGGAGGGAGGGTTTGTGCTAAAAAGAGAACTTGAAGATGGTAAACTAGAAATCAAAAACTGAGGTTGGTAATTTGATACAGAATCTAGAATAGAAATGTCTGTTTCAGAAACAGTGCTACATGTAATTGCCTGACTAGGTACAAATTTTCTGGGTCAATTTTCCTCCTCGATAAAAATGGGTATTGTTACCTTCAGTATGGATGGGTGGTACTGTGGTTTCTGAGACCCTTTGAAGCTTGCTTGCTTGGTTTACAACGATTATTAAAATTTCTGATATAAGGCAGTTGGTAAAAATACACATTCACCATGCAAACTATCATGAAGACGCTATTATTCAGATTTTAGAAAAAGCTGATCACGGTACAATCACTTTCTCTCAAAGCCCACCGTTTGAAACCAGAGAACACGGCAGAAAGAAATTTGGCCCGCTAACCTCTCCCCTCACCAAACACTAAACAGGCACCAGCTCAGAATCCGAAAACTTGACAGTCTGGCTCCAGTCTGCCCAAGGCCAGTAGTGTGGATTTGAACAACTCATTTTACTTTCACTGGGCTCAGTTTACTTACATTTTCAGTTCCATCTATTACTCATCTAACTGCTCCATTCCTTTCCCGCACCTGACACCATCCTTTCTACCCCTCTAATGACTTTGTCTCTGCGTCCCTGCCGCTTCCTGCATAATACGTTTCTCACTTGAATCTCAGATTTCGGTTACTCTCACCCTGCCATCCCCTTGGGTTCTCCTCTTTGTTTGGGCATCTCCAGCAATCCTCCCGCAACGTCCTGGCTCCTCTCCAAGATACAGAATGGAAGGCTCCCATCCCCAGCCCCGCCGTGCACTCCCGCAACTCAGGCGCTGGCTCACACAGTGCGCCCCGGAACCCTACACCTCCTCGAGTCCCGGTGGCTCCCCTTCACCTACCCGCCCCTCTCTTAGCATCTCGTCCCCCACCCCCATCTCCGCCCTCAGCTCGGAGACTCCGGAGCCACGGGTCATTGTGCCCTGCCCCTCTCCGGAGGCTCTTCTTCATCCTTGGCCTGAGATGCCCACCTCGGGTGGGGTCCGTCGCCACGGAGTCCAGGGTCGCGCGCCACCCACGTGTCCAAGAGCGCCGCACCCGCCCAGTGCAACCCCCGCAAGGCTGGAGGCTTCTCGCCGCGGAATCTCTCCCCTTGCAGATGAAACCAGCACTGGCTGGTGAGCTGCAGGCGGATCGCCAGCGACACGTGCGGGGTGCCGGCGCCTCGCCGCAGGGTGCGGGTGCCCGCGGAGCCAGCCAGCCGGAGAGCCAGCGGGAGAGGAGAAAGGGTGGGCTTGCGGGTGGGCCCGGGAGGCGGAGACCTCCGGGAAGCGGGGGCCAAGCAGCTGTGCAGGCGGGGGGACTGCAGTGCCACCTCTCCCGAGAAAGCCCACATTCTCGCACGCCCGCGCGCGCACGCACGTGCACACTTTGGGCAGGGAGAACACGAGCGAGAGTCTTTGAGCGCTGGGCGCGTTTTAGTAATGGCTTCTGCTCTCAACAGCAAAATAAACCCGCCCGGGACTTGCCTGGAATCCAAAGCCGACGCCCGCGGTGGCGCTGGCTGGAGAATGGACTGTGATCCCGAGATGCACGTGAAAATGTGCAAGAAGATCGCCCAGCTCACCAAGGTAAGGTGGGGCGCAGCTGGCCAGCTTGCTGAACGCCCGGGGCACCGGAGCCGGGAGGGAGTGCGGATGCACGTCCCGGGAGGCCCGGGCCGAATCCAGGCAGAAACTTTGTCCCAGAGGCCAACCGGGAAAGGAAGCGGTCCTAAATCTGGGTGACTTGACCTTCTAAAGTCACCACCCTAAAGCAGCAGAGAAAGAGGATCCTTGCCAAGGAAATTCCCACAACCTGCTTGCTGAGCAGGTGGTCTGTGCTTTTCTAAGGTGGGAATGTGAATCGAGTGAGCGCGCGCGCGTGTGTGTGTCCGTCCGCCAGCTTTGCTCAAGTGGCCGTGCCTACAATGTTGGGATTTCATTCAACTGTCATACTTTACAGCTGGGGAGGTCATGTAGGCTCTGTTTAAACACTTGATCCTTTTATTCCTTCATTCAACAAATATTTGTGTCATTTGTTGAGCTTGCGTGGGAACGCACTAAACCTGGAATGCAGCCCGGGGGACTTACTATCAAACTGGGTGCAGACGTGTGTAGGAGCGTAAATGGGGAAGAGCAGGATCCACCAAATAATTATGAGATTAGGAAGGACCTTGGGAGGTCAGCCAGCCCACCTCCCTACCTCGTGCAGGGCCCCGATTGAACCTCTCCACACTATGTCTTTTTTCAGGAAGATGAGCAAGAAAATGTCACCAGTGCTCTTTGTTAACCCTCTGCAGCTCCCCATTTAGGACCTCCTTGTCCCTGACTCCCCTCTGTGCCTTGTCTAGATGGACAACAACATCGCTCACTGCCTCCTATGCAAGGTTTCAAGTGGATGAATTTAGTTGTTTGTCTTGGGGTTTCCTTTTGGTCTCATAATAAACTCCTGGTGCCATGCCTGCCAGGGAAAAGTCAGGTCCAGGTCTGTCCTGTAGTGTCTGGAACATGCTCTCTTTCCTCACTATCTCCCTCTCACTTCCCACACTCACTTTTTTGTGGGATCACAGACATTCCCCTCCCCCTGCCCCAACAACTGCACTGTTTTGCCAGGAGGAATAAAGCACAGAGGTTTGGAATTGAACCCTAGCCGCCTTCTCCCACCTGTCTCGTTAACTTCACATTCTTTGCACATGAACCTGTCTCCAAACAGGGCTCTCTTTCGTCAAAGGATGAAAAAAGGGAATAGAGATAACCCTTATAGTCCTTGACTTGTATGGCTGGTACTATTGATCTAACCTACATTCATCTAAAGTGACATCAACCAAAATATGTATTTATTCAAGTACCTGAAAAGGCACTTGGCACAGTGCAAGGCACCTTCTCTATCTTCAAAGAATCTAAAATATTTTTAGAAAAACAAGATTTGAAATATTGAAAGCTAGGAGACTATGTCTTGGTTGCTAAATTGGGTGTTTCTAATTAGGAGTGTTTTAATTACGAGTGTTTAAGTAGAAACAAAGGACAAATCAGTATGGGAGGAACAGTGAGGGCAGATTTTATGGCATAGATGATCCCTGAATTTACTGTGGACTTGTGGAATTCCTACTATGTGCCAGCACTACGCTGAATGTTAATGGCATAATAATTAGTAAGATATGGTCTTGCCTTTGTGGTATGACAAACACATAAACGGATCACTTCGATATAATATAGAAATCATTCCACTCAATATTATGACATACCTATTATGTGCTAAGCCTGAAAATATAGCAGTATAGAAGGCATACATGATTCTTGGCACACAGTAGGCAGTGTTTTTTAAAGTATATTATGTAGAAGAAATCATGATTGATGCTTATGTAGTGCCTTTGTTTACCATTTTTATGCTAATTGTTTAAATTAGAAATTTTTGTTATTAGTAGGCCACCCTTCTTTTGGCTACTATTTGTATGTGAAATATTTTTCATATTGTCATGTTTAATCTTTCTATGAGTTTTATTTTGGTTGTGTTTCTGACAGGTGAATGTAATCCACAGACATTTATTGCGATTACTGATTTAACTGGGGTTTTCTTCCACTGGATCTTGTGTTTTTCATTTAACATTCTTTCTCCTTGCTTTTTTCTTCCATTCTTGCCTTCTGTCGGATTAGTAAAGTAAGCCATATTCCACGACTGGTTTGAGAGCTTTAGGTTTTATTTCTATTATTCTCAGAATCATCTTTTATTTTTCAACATATATTCTTACTCTGATTTTTTTCCAACAAGATTAGTAACTGTTTCTTCCCATGAAAACACTTTGTATATTTTACTCATTTAACAGCCCCTTCCTTTCCATCCTATTATTGCTGCCTAGAGTTTTATTTTTACTTCCGTTTGTTTGTTTAAGAGACAGGATCTTGCTCTGTTACCCATGCTGGAGTGCGATGGCACAATCATGGCTGACTGCAGCCTCAAACTCCTGGCCTCAAGTGAGCCTCCCACCTCAGCCTCCCAAGTAGCTAGGAATAGGTGTACGCCACCACTCCTGGCTAATTTTTTGTTTTTCAAAAACTTTTTGTAGAAATAGAGTCTCACTATGTTCCCCAGGCTGGTCTCCAACTCCTGGCCTCAAGCAATCCTCCTGCCTCAGCCTCCCAAAGCTCAGGCATGTGCTACCACATTCAATCGATTTCTTCCTAAATTTAAAAATAGTTTTTGTAGTTAAAAAATTTACTGACATTTTATCAATTTTTCTGCTCATTTTTTTTTTCTTGGATCTACAATGATCCATTGGGTTCACTTTTTTTCTGGCTGAAGTCCATCCTTTAATAGTTCTTTCGTAGGTGTGTTGGTATGAGAGGGAATTCATTGTGTATTGGAAAATGTCTTAATTTTGCCCTCACTGTTGTATGATAATTTATTTGGATATAAGATTCTAGTGAATAGTTATTTTCCCATACCACACTGATAATAGTACTCCACTGTCTTCTGGTACTAATTGTTGCTGGTTAAAAAATCTACCTTCAATGTAATTTTCATTCCTTTGTAAATAAGCTGTCTTTTGTCCTTGATAACATTTCAGATTTGTTCAGTTTATTTTTGTGGTTCAGCAGGTTTACTAGAACTGTCTTGGTGTTAGTTTATCTTTATCTTCTGCAAAAGTGGGAGGCAGTATCTGTTGAGGATTATCATGTGCTGGTTTTTTTTTTTTTTTTTTTTGAGACAGGGTCTCACTATGTCATCCAGGCTGGAGTGTTGTAGTGGTGTGATGATCATAGCTCACTGCAGCCTTGACTTCCCAGGCTCAAGCTGGACTACAAGCATGAGCCACCATGCCCAGCTAATTAAAAAAAAAATTTTTTTTGTACAGACAGGGTCTCACTATGTTGCCCAGGCTGATCTCAAACTCCTGAGCTCAAGCAATCCTCCTGCGTTGGCTTCCCAAAGTGCTGGGATTACAGGTGTGCATGTGCTTTCTTTAATTCTGGAAAATTATTACTGATTTTCTCTTGCAATATTGCTTCCTAGCCATTACCTCCATTATGTTTTCTAATGGCACTACCATTAGGTAAGTGAGGAAGCCTCACTATCTGTATCCTGAGATGTTATTTTTTTTAAAAAGTTTTTGTCTTTGTGTTGCACCCTGGTGAATTCCTTGCCTTCCAATTTGCCAGTCTTCTAAATAATTTGTGTAGTCCAGAGTTTTACCCATCTATTAAGTTTTTGTTGTTGTTGTTTGCTATTTTTTTTTTTTTTTGAGACTGAGTCTTGCCTGGTTGCCAGCATACCCAGCTAATTTTTATATTTTTAGTAGACGGGTTTCACCATGTTGGCTAGAATGATCTCGATCTCTTGACCTCATAATCTGCCCACCTCAGCCTCCCAAAGTACTGGGATTACAGGCATGAGCCACTGCCCCCAGCCCCATCTGTTAAATTTTCTGAATTTCAATAATTATATTTTTTATTTCTAAGATTGCTCTATTTTCTTTCTGCCTAATTTTGATTAATAGTTTTTTACAGCTTTATTGAGGTGTAATTTACATATCATAAAATTCACCTGTTTTAAGTGTTCTGTTCAACATTGTTTCAGTCATTGAGCCATAACCATAATCCAGTTTTAGGGACATTTTCATCACCTGGAATTAATCTTCCCTTGTGCCCATTTGTAATCAGTTCGTTTTCCCACTGCCAGCCCCAGCCAACTATTCATCTACTTCCCATCTCTTTAAATTATCTCTAAATGAGACCATATAATATATTATTCTTTCCATCTAATCCTTTTTTTTTTTTTTTTTTGAGATTGAGTCTCACTCTTCCGCCCAGGCTGGAGTGTGGTACTGTAGTGCAATCTCGGCTCACTGCAACCTCTGCCTCCAGGATTCAAGCGATTCTCCTGCCTCAGCCTCCCAAGTAGCTGAGATTATGGGCGTGTGTCACCATGCCCAGCTGCTTTTTTGTATTTTTAGTAGAGACTACTAAAAATTTCACTGTGGGTTTCACTGTGTTAGCCAAGATGGTCTGGGTCTCCTGACCTCGTGATCCGCCCGCCTCGGCCTCCCAAAGTGCTGGGATTACAAGCGTGAGCCACCATGCCTGTCCTCCATCTAATTCTTTTAGGTTCATCCACATAGTAACACGTATCATTAATTCATTCCTTTTTATTGCTCATTTATCTATCTTATTGTATGGGCATGCCATTTTTATTTATCCATTCACCAGGTGATGGACATTTGAATTTCTACCTTTTGGCTTTTATGAATAATGCTGCTATGAATATTACATTCATGTGCAAGTCTTTGTGTGTTCTTGGGTAGATACCTAGGAGTACAGTTGTTAAGTTGTATGATAACTTTTAATTTTTTAAGAAACTGCCAAATTGTTTTGCAAAGTGTACCATCACACATTTTCCAGCCTACTTCTTCAGCACAATCTCCTGGTACATCCCTATGCACCCAATTCTCAGGTCACAGGAAATACAATTCTTTCCTTACCCCACTGTGCACGCACCTAGTTTTCCTCGTGCAGTTTCCTCTCCTGAAATGTCTTCATCTCTAAAAGTAAAATCCTGTTTATCTTTTGAGTCCTACCTCCTCTAAGAAAAACCTTTTAAAAACCTTACTTTTGTGATTAAGAATGTGTTAATTAATTTTAAACTGTGTATTAATTACTTTTACCTATCCATCTATTTCTCCAGCAGTTTGCACAATGTCTGGCACATAGTAGTTCCTCAGTAAGCTTGTTCCATTTAATTAAAGTTTCCTTCCATAGGTTTGTTTCATGATACTCATCCCTCTGATATTATAGTTGACTTGTGGATAGTATGTCCTTAAAGTACTAAGCTCTGTAATTTTATTCATAATACTTTA